CCCCAAAACCCCAAAACCCCAAAACCCCGTAAGGGCTGGGTTTTATTGAAACAGTGGCCTGTCTTTGATTCAATTCTCCCTATAACTCCTTGATGAAAAATCACAGGATTTCTAGTAGCCGCCTTCATCCGTCTGAACCCTTCTTAGCAAGGGAGATCCCAGGCCTTGGTTCCTTCCTAATCAAAAGTTAATGTCGGTCAGGGACAGATTGCCTCCTAGTTGGGTTCACTAGAAGCCCTACTTGTGAGACAGTGTAGTTTTCTCATCTAGCTGTTCTACATGCACCCTCACCCTTATCTTATTCTGCAATTTTTTCACAACTCAAAGCCAACAGACAAGATATCAGGAAGGATGCCTAAAGGATCGAGAAGCTGTCTCTTCCTGAACTGACTTGTCTAGCTGCTTAACTTGTAAAGATGCAGGTCAGGACCCCCATCTTGGCAAAATTGAATAATTGGTTCAAACTGAGCAGGAAACAAAATAAAAGCTCAAGCAGGAATTTTAAAATCCTGGGTTCAGACTTCTGCCGGGATCAACAGTCAAGGTACGATTAAAGTCACATTTTAATCAACTAAAGGAAGACTATGGGTCAGACTTCAAGGTTCTGGACGCTTAATTTTTATAATATTTTGCAGACTTGAAGGTGCTATTTTCCTACTTAAAAATATTTCTTTGTAATAACTAGTTTTAATTTTACAGGAAGAGTATATAATTTTTTATTTAATATCCATCCTTATGGGGTGATGACTCCTGTGAATTCATTATGATAACTGTTTCTCTTCTCTAAACCAATTGTCACCTTTTTTAGGACATATTTTCTATTGAAGTGAGGTAAACTTTTGGATTATGGAAACATAGAGCAACTTTTGTATAGGAAGTTGGGATAAATCATGAATATTGAGGCAGGGTGCTAAGAAGAATTTGGACAGTTGTTGGAATCGTTTGATCCAGCGGAAATTGTGAATATCTACAACCAATGTTTATGTAAAGGTTCCTGTAGATGGGGTTTTGGGGTTTTGGGGTTTTGGGG